TTCCGACAACCATAGACGAAGTCATAGATGCTACCAATCTATTGCAGAGGGTTTGTTATGAAAAAATATGCCACATAGCAGTAATGGAGGGTTTATACGCATTACGTAGTGCGTTAAAGCAAGCTTAACATTGAAAAGCCGGAAATCTGCTATCAGTGTGTAGTGTATGTTTGGTGTTTTGGCCACAAAAGGAAGCCGAAGGGTCATGATCAGGGAGTAAAAAGGTAACTAACTTTTATTAAGCTCACCTTTTTATAGACCATAATTCACCACTCGCAAATTTGTTTTTTACGGTATGATGTCAACCGTTATCTAATATGTTCACCCTTACGATGAAAAGTACCTGCAAATTCTTACCCTCATATTCGAATTATTTTGGGACAACTGTCTTCCAGTTTGAGTGCTTCGTACGCCCTGGGAGACTAGATTCCTACATTATTCACAGTTCCAGTATAACTTTCACGCAGTAAGTTCAAAGTAAACGCTAGTCTTTCTAGATAAGCATATTAAACTAATATCCGTATTCTCTATTTCAGTTGATCGATGAAGACATGTACCACGTACATCTGCTGTATATTGCTATTTTACTCCAATTCTGTTATATATCTTCTGAAAAATAAAATTGCTATATGCAGCAAATACAGACTTATTGTTTTGATGGTGGTAAGTGGGTTCATGGGATATTTAGCAGGACTGTAGTAATATTCTCAATAAATAGCTAAGTGAGTGCGTAAACCAATCTAAAGTACCATACAGGGTGCCTTTGAATTACTCGTGTTCCATTAGTGTTGGTGGAAGCATTACTTGCTTATCATATGACATTTGAATAAGAAGCTATGAGATTAGACGCAGGGACGGTTAGGATGTGTAACGCGTGTCCATCCATCAGTTTTCGTGGCAACTCATGGTGGCTAGAATTAGTTGTGTGAGGACCCGAGCCTGTAGGTTTCCCAAGAAAATGACGGATATATGCACCAAATCACCTTATGAAGAGCGCCTCCAATCACTTAACCTCTACTCATTAAAGTATAAACGTCTTAGAGGTGACCTATTTACTTACAGGATCCTTAACACTTCTGGACATTCTCTTAAACACCTACTTGAGCTTGGTCCCAGAAACTAGAAACACGACATAGCAGAGTGGACTGTAGATGCAACTTCTACTCCTTAAGAGTTGTCGGATGCTGGAATTCGCTGCCCGCCGAACTAGTCCAAGCGACTTCCCAGGAGTCCTTTGGGAGGCGACTGGATCTTTTATTGTTAACATACCTAGGTTCCTGCTTGGAGGTTTTAGTGATCCCCTGCTACTAGACACGGAAGTCTGAACACATGAATTAGGTGATGAGAGGCTCGATTATCACAAGTTTCTTGCAACGATTAAGTAGATAAAACAAAGTAGCATTAGGTTCAAAAATTTATTCGTGAACTTTCATTAAGAATCGAATATGAGAAAAAGGTTTAAACCAAGTTCCAGTCCAAAAGTTGCATTTGTAATGTTAAGCTGCAGTTTTTGTTGTTTTTCCAAACGAAAGGGTAAAAGAAGTAACTCAAAAAGTACTGGAAGTGGTTGTGAGATTAAAATGAACATCTAGCATCCTTTTTATAATATGCTGTTAGTTGGGTCTCCCGTAAACAGATCCATAGGGCCATAGTTCTAAGGGCGAAACAGTTCTTAGGATCTGTGAAGACTCAGTCCTGTTGCATTCTAAATGAGAAAATAGTAGTGAATTTAGTCAGAAATGTGGAATAAATAAATAACCAAATTACATGTTTTTTAGCAAAGAATTTATGCAGTTGTGATTTACCTTTAGTTCATGAATATTAGGTCAGGTCAGCTATTACTTGTGCAAAGCATAACATGGACTTAATACCGTATCTCAATGCTTTTATTATTTTGCTCTCATTTAAGTATTACCATGTATCTGCATCTAGTTTAACAGGAAGACATACAAGCAGAGTTAGTGTTTGATGAACTAAAAGTCCTAGTTGTCAAAAAGATTCTTAACATTTGTCCACAGCCAACTGCATTTAATTGAGATACAGAACACTCATCTTCTAAGACTGTATACTGCTCTTCTACGGGCAAATAAAAGCTCAGATACTTAGCTATCCTGCTACCGATGTTATTGCTGGGGAAATTGTTTAATGACAGTGATCATGAAATATGGTCAGTGATAGATGTACAATCTAGAAATAAACACCAAACATACTTATCGCTATCTTATAATGTATGACAGCAACAGTACCAAAAGCACTTTTTCTTATTTTTAATCAGACTGATTTGAATTAGTATACTCATCAGAAACAGGCAACTCTACTTACTAGACTGATCTGTTTCGTTACAGACTTCAAGCACTATACTTAAGTATACCATAATTCTTTCAACTAAACTGAATTATACGACAACCAAGAATACTAAACTAAGTAAGTGTCATAGTTATTGTTTCATTTGCACAGGCATATTGCTTAAAGTAGTTAAATGGACATAATTAAAACTATAAAACAAAAACACGAAATATAGGCCAATTGAACTTACCGAACGGAAGACAAAGAATACATATATTGCTTTCCGACTGAAGACAACATGCAGTTGTTCATAAAAACATAGTTTATAGTACAATAAACCTTTCTACAGTAAAATCATGCACTGACAGTCTATCTGGAAACAATCAACTATGTGAATAAACTCACTATAACTTGAGATATCACCCCAGCATGCAATGGACGTGCAATGTAACGCAGTCGGACGTTGCAAATAAAATTATAAAAAAAGATCAAAATTAGCTATATAATCTAGTTATTTAATTAAAAATACATTATGAAATGACAGAATCTGTGGTTACTTGAACGCACAGATGACCGATACATTAAGTTTACATGGTTGCGTTGCGGATAAGATCACCCTTCTAAATCTAATATAGATCTGTTTGACTACTTTATACTTCAAGGTCAATAAGTGTTTTCGCGCAAGTAAATGTATATAAGGTGGGATGGTTAGTGCTGTTTGCATAAAGATGCATGTGGTCATACGACATTTAGCCTTAAGTTTTATTGAGTCTGTTCATGTGTCTATAATCTCAGGCCGAAATTGGTAAGATTTTTGCCTGATATTCATGCTTATGTTCAGCTCTTTATGGTCATGCATGCACTCATCCAACTACACAAAATTGTTGACTCAAGTAATAGTTTTTTCATATATTTCACTACGACTTTGGCTCATGAACGGTGAAGCAACGGGTTAATCTATTTTGCTGTCGAGCTATCCAGATCCAAGGTAGCTACTATCACCTCTCACCAATTTAGTGCAGTTTCACTCTTTCATGAGAAATGTAGTTTACTGCTTGAAGTTTACTCGAACTAAAAGTCTTGATCTCCACATATTCTTACGACTATTAGTTCTTTGACCGGTATCTCGAAATTTATTCAGGTCAATAGGTTGATATCAATTATTAGTTTCATCTAGATATTTACTATCAGTTTCCAAAAGTATACGTTCAGACCGTAATTGAACTTCTGTTGATTGAGTTTATGGTTGGTATCTCACGAAGTACATGATGGTGATTATCGACTAATCCTTGTTGGTTGACTCATGTATGTGGAGCTGCTGTAGCTAGTAGATTTGGGCAAGTCCATATTGGAGAACAAATTCATTGGCTATGTCGTTTATGCAATTTTTCATTTGGTTCTCTGGATTGAAATTTTTAAGCTATATTTGTTTTGCGATCTGTTCATTTTCAGGAGGTATGACTAGATACCAAAAGCAATAAACAATTTTTTTTGCTTTTTATCCAATGAAAACAATTCATTCATTATATATTTGAACAAAATGCTAGTACAAGGGGGCACCAATCGTTTGCAATGGCGCAGGTGTATCTACTCTTTGTGTTCTCCCAAATTTTGATCTACTGATTCCCCGCTTGTCTCTTTTTTTCTCTTCCCAAGTTTATTTCACTGTATTATACTCTTTAAGTAACATCTCCAAACACTAATCTTTCCGATTACTGCTTATACTCTTATTACCTCTACCAGTACGGGATTTGAATCGACCACGGCATCTCTGTGCTAATGTGGTGTGGCAACTCGAACTGATGCACGTACGTACGAAGTACTACGTTGTTACTGACTGACTGACTGACAAGGGGGCATGAAATACAAATGCTCCACACAGTGACAATGAGACCAGTAGCAGTTATTACTGGTTTGTGTGAGGGCTGTGATACTGCTTGGGTGCCCAGAACGAGGCAGGTGGCTTTCTTAGAGGGCCACACCCTGGGTCTTTGACCTAAAAGTCTAATCCACAAGACGGAGCAACGTCAGGAGATGCACTCCCATGGTAGCGGTAACCAAAATTAGGTTCACACCCCATTTGTTTCCCTAGGATCCTGGAGCCCGTGTGCACCATCTGTTTGGAATCAAGGTTTTCCCAACTCCCCTAGATGGATCCTCCATATCCGCCAACCTGGCTAAAGCACCGGGCATTTTCTCTTCACCATCTCAGTTTCGTAAACAACACTCCTGACGCGAGAAGTCGGTGAGTAGGACTTCCCTGATAGTGGCTGTATGGCCTTGTGAGAGCATTTTGAAGAGCTGAATGTCCCCACCCCCGGTCGTACCACGGTATTCGGGAGCAATGAAAACAATAATATCAGATGATTTATCGGTACGGCCATTCTACATACTTTGAAGTTCCCTCATAAAATGTTCAAGCGTAACGATCACTAGTTCCTGTTCGTCATTATTCATTTGAATCCTACATATTCTGAACTTGATGGATGGGTTTGGATTTAGTGTATACCTACAAACGACTGCGTTTTAGTAAGTATGGTTTTCTTCGTTCATAATGTTATGAAATTGAATATTAAGTTAAACTATTTCAGCTACATTTAAATAATTTTCAGTTTAGAATCAATGAAAACTTGATCGCGTTTTCTATTTGGCCCTGGAACTCGTGACACTTTGCTGTACATTCCGTATCTCTTGTGACTGCTGAGCTATAAACCATGTACAAGGTCGTAAAACCTTTCCAAGCAGCAGGATTTTACTGTTCAAGTAATTTTATTACACATTCACAGTTTTTTAGACTTGACAACAAAGTATAGCCAGTCATCCTATTGCCTTCAAGAACTGTTTGCGAATCCTCAAATCCACAACCTTTTACGTTTGATTACTTGCATAGATTCAAACACAGTTCACCAACGACGCTATAGAAGAGCTGGGAAGGAAAGTATTAAACTTCTTAATGATGCCGAACTAAATATAGTAATACGATTCGGATTATTTATCTAACTTTTACACAAGGTCAAAAAATATACTGCCGCTTTTACGGAACAAAAGTTGCAGATGCCACCTGTTTTAAACCCAAGAACCTCTGTAAACAGCCAAATCATTTCTCGAGATAGCGGTCTTCAAGGGATTATTCCGGGAAATATTAAACTAGTTTTTACAGATACCACACTAAAGCGTGACAGAAAGAACCGTCTCATAGTAGTTAGAGAGTCAAATGGTAACTTAAGACACGCAGACCTTTCTGAACGTGATCGTATTAACCAAGTTTACTTTCCTTTGTCTGGTCGGAAGTTGTTTATTCCCATGATGTTTGAAGACGAGCAGTTAGATGTAAGTTATCGTTTATGTTACTTCTTAGCACTTTAAACGCCAATAATCACATAAAGTTTCGCTTCAGAAGTGATAGTGATGCGAAAATGGAAAGGACGGTTATTATCATCACAATTTTATGACCAACTACAGGTTACTTTAATCGACTTTGAGGTACACTTTATTTTGAAACGAGATACTGATAACTAAGGCGAGGTTCAGAATTTTGATATAGCCTATATCGCCCCATAGATTTTGCAAAATTTCATAAATTATCTTGCTGGTTGTGAATTCCCCATCCTGAAACTCAAAATTTTTGCAAGGCCTTGTTTCTCACTCATCTGGCGTCACTGTTTGTCACTACATGCGATTTTCTTGAATTGAGGATTAGAATAGAATGGAGCTCAGAGTAAACAGACCAGAGTATGATACTCATATATGAATCTACTAACTGCTGGTTTATTTATGGGGCAGATGGATCAAACTCACCCTTGTTTACTTCATTTTGGGCAGCCAACCAGGTTATTTCACCAATTCTTCACGAAGATGGTTTGGCCTTTGTCGGCCCTTGAAAATCCAAGCGAGGCAGTATAATTTTCGTGGCAGGTTGTACCCATATCCACAGCAGGTCTCCAAGGTGAACAGCCTCTGGCAATTGAACAATGTAGGTAAGGGAAGTCGGCAAATTGGATCCGTAACTTTGGGAGGAGGATTGGCTCTGGGGGCGGAATCAGACATGCTGAGATCAGATACGTGTCGTTCGAGTTGGGGGCTGGTTTCTTTGCTGCTTTGTGTGCTTCGGTGTGCGTTATGGTGAGGTTACTGGACTCTGACCCGGGTTGATCGTGGGCGGTTTCAGCTGTTAGTGTCGTGCAGCTAGCAACGCGTTAGGACTTGTTCCACGTTGCGTCAAGCGACTGTACTTCCATGGTCTGGCGCGCGACGGCTAACTCAGAACTGGCACGGAACAAGGGAACCCGACTATCTAATTAAAACAAAACATTGCGATGTCCACTGATTGGTTTTGACGCAATGTGATTTCTGCCCAGTGCTCTGAATGTCAAAGTGAAGAAATTCAGCCGAGCGCGGGTAAACAGCGGGAGTAACTATGAGTCCATTAAGGTAGTCTATGTTTGATTACTCCAAGGCTTTTGTCGTATGTAGTAACCCGACGGATGTTTTTGTCTGAGGTTATATTCTGTCTGCTCTAGGTGTGAGATTCATTTTCGTTCAACCAAACTCATTTCACAATTATTAATAAGTTAGGAAACTAGTGCTAATGCAAATTACCATGCGAAGTGGAACAATGCAATTCGGTTACGTAAACTATCATAGCAGTGGAGTTCAAGTCCAAGTCAGTCTATGTGTTTAGATGCAAAAAAGGAGAAAAAAGAACTACAATATGAAGTATTTAGACCACTAAGACCTTTTTTCAAAGATATCCACCAAATCATTCACACTTTCAGGGTTGTACTGATGGAAACATATGATATAGTTGTACGTACAAGTTTATTTTATAAAACTAAACATAACTTTTCTGGTAGTGGATTTTCCACGATTTTATCATTTTATTCTATATTTAATTTCTCCTTATCAGGCACTTTTGGACCAAGGCTCATTTTTGTATATTTTGGACAGAACATGTGTTCAGTTCGAACCAGATGACCCACATTTTAGTCGAATATGCCATCGTGTTTATGAACGTGTGAACCATTTAGCTTGGACTCCATTTGAAAACGCTGAATCGATAACCAACGGTCTAACCAACCCATTGCTTCTACTACGACACACACGCTATTACGGTCCCTTAGCTTTATATATGATTGCTCAATTAGGTTCTCCTGGGCCACTTGTTTATGAGACTCTTGCACATCAACATTACAATCGCTTAGGTTGGGTACTTCGTTTAGTTTGTCTTCTTAGACCCTCTAGTCCTTTTGCTGTTCATACAAAGTCAAATGTCGATTTAATACCTCCGCCGATACAAACTGTTTTAGACTACACAAAGGATTTGTCCCAACAAAATATGAGTCCATCCGAGATTAGCAAGTTGCTGGATTATGTTGAAGTAAATACATTTTTTAAATTTTATTCAGTAATTTTTGAATCATAAGTTAACTGACTTATCCGGGTATTAATGGTGGTACGAATCCACAGTATTGTGATCAAACGTTTAAGTTTTCACTGTTCGATCGAAGTTTTTTTTATCTCGTACATTGTTTTCTAGTGGAAACTTGTTAGTCTGTAATCGTAATCTTAATCTGTACAATAACCTTTTTGTTCCACTTCATAAAAACATGCTATTTTCTTGATACAGTCTGTAATTCTGTTGAAATGTACTATGACTTAATTGATTAGCATATAAGTGGACATATCTGAAGTCATTCTCATATAACATCCTAGAGGACTCACAGCAACTTCAGTATTTTTCAGATTATTTTTTTTTATGTTCTTTTGCAGTGATTCCCGATAATGTTATTTCAAAAATATTACAGTTATGGGTTAGAAATAATCCTATGGCTTAGGGTATTGATTAGCCCAACCATTTAAATTTAAGGCTAATCACAATTATTAAGTATACCCCATTTGTTAATTGGGACTTCATGAGATTCAGGCTAGAAAAATCAAGTGGTTCTGTATTTTGAACCAAGGGACCTTTCTGTTCATATCAAAGATAAATACCTCATCCTATGCAATAAATGTGGAAATAAGAGGTGACCGGTAAAGGTACTAACCTAATGACTACTTCATAGTTTATATCAGAAACTGACATTAGTTAGACAACCACGAAGCACTATACAATTACTTCTTCCAAATGTGGGGCTCCTCAGCAGCGAGCATCCATGTCCCCATCAAGAAACGACACTGGTACCATCGGGTCCGTGACAACGACATTATGTTTTTCATTGCAGGCCTTATTTTAATCTGAATTAACAACTTCAAATTCGATTAATCTGTGTTTGCTAGGCATTATTATTTCATGTTTGTTTTGAAATGTTTTGTCACTTTTCCGTCTTTTCTATAGCTTTTCATCAATCTGGAACCTTTAAGCAAAGACAAACAAGTCATACTCAATGATTATCTTCAACGAGCTCGAGAAGGTATCAAAATGAACATAGAAACAATGGATAATGCTTAGTTATTTTATGTACATATGATGTTAGTTTTGTTGTTAGAGAAAAAGAAATTGTATGAAAATAAATAAACAATCCAACTTAAATATTCGTCATTTTTTACTTAAATGTATATTGAATGCTTGTTTTAAGATTAACCATAAGACTATTCCTTAATAATAATATAAACACATCAACAGTAGATCCTCTTGTAATCCGGGGGTTATGGGTATATACTTAACCTTTATGAGTGAATTATTTAAGTGTTGTCATGTTCCTAATGAGAGTTACTCTTATCTCAGTAAGTAGATGCAATTATTATTAATACACTGAGTACAGAATCTTCCATTCGAACTTACCTACGTATTTAGTTTGACAGTTGCTTTAAGTGATTTTCAAAATGGCTAAACAACGTATATCTTTTGAATTTAGTCTTTTTAAAAGCTCAGAATTAACTGAAAATCTAAGGTACATATAATTTTCTTTCCTGAATAGTGCACTAATTTATGTGGAGATAAGCGAATATCGTTTTCTTTCTCAGGAATGTCTTTTAACATCAGATGAAATTTAAGGAAAAGTTTGTCCCATATCTTTGCTATTATGGGTAATCGATAAAATGCGATGCTATGCAGTTCTAGGTAAAAGAAAAGACATTAGAAATTACTTAGTAAGTAAGGTTCTAGCTTTCAGTACTTGACTTTTTTATTACAAGTAGATTTATCCACTGGAACTGTGACATCGGTGTTGGTCCATACTGACGTCAGGTTTCGATCAAAATGATAACCAAAGCAGCATCAGTCTCCTGAATCTTTATTGACATTGTTTTTGTTGTTGTTGATATTCTGAACTACAAAATTTTTAAAAAGTGTTAGTCATAATAGAAGTGGTGTTTTCTATCATTCTGGAAGCGACCGAGAATAATTTGTTCATTCACTCAATCATACTTTATGTATAATCATTGTATTGCTTGGCGATTTCATTCCAAAGGTCAGGAGTACGGACAACGGAAGTGTCATTTGGTTGAGCCATAGAAATTTATTGGTTACAAATCGAATAAAAAAAAGTTTTTTGAAGCTTATAGCTTATTTTTGTCAACTTCATCTTTCAGTATAGCCGTCAATGTATCACTTGACATGCTCCGACTAGTTTAGATATGGGATAAGATAGATTGCATTGTAACCAATTAGCGATGATGATTGTGTGTACAGTATTACCACTCGTTTTACGATACCCCATTATCCACCAAACTCATTTTAAGCTTTGATACCTCAAATATTCGTCATTCAAATCGGTTGTACTTAGTACTGAAGTTTTAAGTATTATTCATACCGTAGTTTTCAGTGTCCTCAATAAATGGATGCACATTTCAGAGTAATGAACTCCATCTTGGCTATGTGCCTATTTAGAAGGTATCCGTTGGCGTTGTTGTGCTTAATATTTATTTCTTATCCAGTTGAATACTTATTTTCATTCTTATTTTGCTATGGTCCTACAGCTCATGAATGAAGTTGGGTTTTATGTGAGTACTGCCTATGGGTTGTTTCTAAATTATTGCTGTGGGCGCCCATGGTACTCTCGTGTTTCTCCTTCTTTGATTGTGGGTGCTTTACCACTCAAAAAGTCTTGGGATAAATGGCAGGCAGATGAAAATATCACACATATAGTGAGCATGTTGGAACCATTCGAAGTAAAATCATTTGTCATAGGAGAAAAGGATGCTGTGAAGCAAGGCATTAAATATCTCTCTCTACCAGTTCGTGACTTTGTGGGAGTTCCTACATTTGAGCAGGTAAGTATTTTTTTATGCAAAAGTGATTTTCATTCTTCGTTAACTCTTTTGTTAGCAATATGTGAACCTTAATCCATGCACTTCTGCCACATACATTTTTAGTCAGTTAGTCTCAAATATGGATTATTTATTCATCGTCAAATAAAAGATACAGCTAATTACTATATTTAATTCTGTTGATTGTTTTATTTCTTGTCGATTAAAAGATGGCGTCACATGGTACAAAGTAGTTTTTATATAAGATCGTAATATTTTACTATTGAATGAAAAGTTGGTAGTCGACATCACAAAGTTGTTTGCTGCTCTTTATTTCATTTCTCTTATCCTTTAAGCCATAATGATGAACTTACTGTACTTGTTAAATTCACCTATCAAGCGCTTTTAAGGTAGAAGGGTTTGATATGTTTCAGGCTATACTATTCATTTCGTTATATTTTTTCATAATGATTACCTGTCGCTTTGCAGGTGTAAAATGTAGCAATTTAGAATGATACAAATTTGTACTAGGTTTCACGTTGTTTAGGTCTATCTATCTGCTTCTTTAACTAGATATTATAGCCTTTCTTTTCTACTCATCCGTTTGATTTATTCACCGATTGTATTAGTGTTACAAACTTTTTTATGTAGTTCAAAAAAATACTGATAATTATGACATATTGTATTATATTTTGTTATTCTTTTGTTTTCTATGAATTCTTGAAAAGATTGATGCTGGAATTACATTTATCAACTCTTGTGTACAGTCAAACGGATGCGTGTATATTCATTGTAAAGCCGGTCGTACACGTTCAGCATTCTTATTAACTTGTTATTTCATGTATACAGAATCTTTAGGTGTTGACGAAGCGATTGGTCGTGTCAAATCCTTTAGAAGACACATAGTTTTCAGGTCGATGCATAAAATAGGTTTAGAAAATTACTTCAAATTTTTAAATGATAGTAAAAAAAGTGAAAATGTAACAAGTTGATAATGGCTCGTTATTCAACTGTATTAACTCATCAAACTTTAATACTTTTGGAAATCATTTCCATTGGCCTGGCATGCGTAAGTCTATATTTATTTTGTGTGTTTACATTGTTGATCTTTAAATTATCAGGATCTAATAGTTTTGATTACTACTATTAAGATACAGGGGATATACTTTTCAGTAGACTGGAATTTTGCATTTGCCTACTAAATCCATGATGTGTTGATCCCTGAGGGGCCAATAAGCATAGCTTCTGGCGATGGATTTCATTCGTTTTATACCAGAATGACCAGTGTGGAACTGTTTTAGCACCCTTGATCTTAGGGATTCTGGCGCCACTACTTTGTCTCCAAACATCAAGTACTCATTCACGACGCATAATGAGTCCCGACGGTGGTAAAGCTACTTCAAGCCACCATCGAGTCCAGTTGACGGCCAGCCATTAGTGACGTATTTCATCGCTCTTAATGATGCAATCGTTCCTGGAGGTAGATTGTATTTCAACTGCTGAGACTGGCAAAGCACGAACAGCAGATGTCAGGTAACATTGCGCGTGGTTCTCTGTCATTAGGAAGGCAATAACTGTATCTTCATCGGTCGTATGGTGTTCGCTGATGAGTCGTGATAAGGCGTCTGCTTGACCAAATTGTTGGGTGCGCCGGTACTGAATGTCAACCCAACAGTACCAAAGCCCATCGCTGGAGACGGTTTACAAAGTGGGCTGGAAAACCAGATTTCGATCCGAAAATTGTGAGAAGAGGCTTGTGATCAGTGAGAAGAGTGAATCTTCGACCGTACAAGAATTTGTGGAAACGGCGTACTGCGAACACAAGGGCGAGAGCCTCTTTCTCTATTTGACTGCTTTCCGCTGGAGTTAGTGTGTGAGATGACAGCACCGAGTCCAAAAGCTGAAGCATCTGCAGCCACAATAATTAGCATGGATCGGTCGTAGTGCATCAATTATAGTTCAGAGCTAATGATGGTTTTGAGCTTGCAAAATGCAGCTTCACAGTCTTTTGTCCAGTTTCAAATAGTATTCTTATTCAGAAGATAATTTAGTGGGGCGCGTATGTCATGCATCGACGGAACAAAAGCTGAGTAGTAGCTAATTAATCCCAAGAATGATCGTAGCTCAGAGATATTAGTAGGAGTCGGCATCAGTTTTATGGCTCGGATGTTTTCAAGATCTGGTCTGCGACCTGCCGCACCAAAGATGAATCCCAAGTATTTAACTGACTTCAAGAAAAGCTGGCATTTTTCTGAGCGTAATCGGAATCCGTTATCGCTGACGCGTTGTAGTACAGCTGTCGTGCGTCCTCGACGCTGATCTAACGATGTGGCAACAATTAAGATGTCATCGAGATAAGTTGTGACCCCCGGGATACTCGATAGAATGGTATCCATTAGTTGCTGAAAAATAGATGGAGCTGTCTTAACACCAAATAGTAGGCGAATGTACTGAAACAAGCCACGATGAGTATTGATGTTAAGTAGCTCTGTGGATTCCTCATCCACTTCCACTTGTAAATGGGCATCATCTAGATCCAGTTTTGCAAAGAACTTCCCACCATTTAGCATTGTGAACAAATCTTCAGGGACTGGCGGTGGGTAATGATGCGGTTCGAGAGCTGCGTTATGACCTGTGGAAAAATGTGCGCATATTCGGGTTGTGCTATTAGCCTTCTTAATAACCACAATAGATGCTGCCCAGGCAGAATAAGAAACAGGTGTAGTAACTCCCTGTAGTTGAATGCGGTTAAGTTCTTCGTCAACTTTCGATAATGCTGCGTACGGCACTAGTCTCTTTGGACGGAAGACAGGTTTCAACCGAAGTGTTGCTTTCATAGCAGTGCACTGAGCCAATACAGGCTGGAAAATGGTTGAAAACTCCGTCATTAGTTCTTTCGAATATGCTTCAGGTTCATGAGGTTGTTCCACCATATGGCATACGGTGCTTAACGAAACATCAGCTAAATGTAGCCGGTTAAACTAGGACTTCCCTGGTAGAGGCTGTATACGCGTGGCCGTGTGAGAGCATTTTGAGAGGGAGGGCGGGACCACTCCACTCTCGGCCATACCAGGGCATTTGGGGGCTTGATTAATTAGGAAGTCAGCTATCATGAAGTTAGTCTTTTCGATAAGTTAGTAGTATCTATGTTCGCAGTTCTTGAGACAGTTGTTTTCAAATTCATCATGTTTGTAAATGAGTTTCTGACTTGACGGAACATCTGATTTAATTGTTTTTCAACAAAGTTTTCATCCTTATCAGAAGTGTTTATACATATTAAACATTTATTCATGTATTTATTTTATCAACTACAGTTTGTTAAAATTACAAATTTTTATTTTATTTCTCCAGAAGTATAAATATGCATCGGACAATCTTTTGAATGTGTCTAATCTTAAAGTATTGCCAATTCTAATCAGAGAAAATCTTTCATTATTTGTGCAATGTTTTCAACAACAAAAATCCGTCTATTTTTACGAATCATCTATTCATCTTTACTTTGTGCGTTTTTATTTGTTGTACAAATCTAAATTCAGTATGAAAAGAGTCCTATTTTGTTTTATTGAGTTGTTATGTGAAATAGTTTTTTTTATTTATTATCATACAACTGTTTAAAATATTTTTTTAAAAATGAGAAAGTTAACACTAAATTAGATTAAATGTATTGTTCACTGTTCAAAATAAATTTATTTAGATAAAAATATGTTTTTCTTTCACATATCACATTGGTATGATCGGTTGGAGCATTTCATGTTCTTGTTTTATGCTTTGACGATTACTGTGGTCATAATATTACAGTTAAAATCTTTAGTTCAAGGATAATCTAGATAGTGAACTATTCTATAGTAGTTGCTTTACTTTCATACATTTTGATCAAATGTGTTTGGTTTCACATTTTACTTAGATTAGTTCTATATCTATTACTAGTAAAGTAACAATTAAAAGGGAACCACATACATCAGTCTCACGTCACTGATTTACCCAGAACTCAAAGTGTTGTAAGATCGGTTATTTGCATTATGCGTTTGTTCAGGTAACTTGTTACAACTTAGGTAATGTGTGCATTGATAAATCAGTCAAGATTCATTGCCAATATACTCAATGACATATGAGTGAAGCAATTGGGCGCTATTTAATCTAGCTGGGCAACATCACTGGGTGGCATTGGAGGTTTTCAATCACTCAGTAACTTAAATGATGAGGTTTTCCTGTCTCCATTATAATCTTAATTTGAATAAAACATTTATTAGTATATCCAGTAAACAGTATCAAGTTTTACAGCTAAACCAGTTTAGTGTGGGTAAATAGTGTCCCCTTTTTTAGGTTTCATGTGAACATCAGGGGTATAAGAAGCATAAAAATTCTTCGTTTTTCACCAAGGCAGTTGATTGTGCTACTGTGTTTTTTCTGGAACTAGGACTTTTATTCTTCTGTCTGATTACTACATAGTTTCTCATTGCTGATTGCATGGATTAAGGAAAAGCGAAGCGCGAAATATTTAGTCAGTCGAAGTTAAAAATTATCTCAGGTGTAAAGACGGGTTTGACTGTCCGATTCTTTCAATTGAAGTTAGTATCCGCATACGGTTACAGATTCCTTAGTTCGAAAGCTGTAATGTGAATTGAACGTGTTAGTTAAAACCAACTTATTTTGTAATATTGGTTGATTTTAGTTTTTAAAATCAATGCTAGGATGAGAAAAAGGACTTAGATGGTTTTACTGTCATGTTGAGTTCAACAACACTCTTTCTGAACTAGATCGTAGATTTTGAAAGCCAAAGTAGATTTATTTTTACCTGTTTGTTTATGATCTTAAAGCTTTTTCTTGACTCCAGTGTTGCGGTCACCATCGATAGGATACTTTCTCGGGATTCCTTCCTAAGAAAATGCTAACCGATACTTTACAAAATTTAATATTCTGCTAATTTTTAGTCCTAAAGTCGGTATGCCTCGTTGAGTTGTAAAAACCTCCATTGTAGACTTTATCTATTTCGCTGTTATTGTGTAGTCATCGTGGTTTTAATCATTCGTATTCATTACTTTTTATTTATATCCTAAGAAAATAGTTCCTCATTCTCAAGTTGAGTTGTATCTTTTGGGATATACGGTTTTACTTTCTTTAAAGTTTTTTTTAAAGCTATAAGTACATTTGAATAGGAAGGTTTTGATTTCGAACGATTTCAGCCCACTAATCCAAAATATCCACTTAAAAACTAATCAAGGCTTTTTTAAAGGTTTATTAAATAGTTTTGGTAAATGCATCTGTACACCTTATCTTTAATTCCACGGTAACTAGGAGGTTCACTATTACCTTTCTTATTTTGTGTTTTATAGTATGAATAGGTCTGCTGAAAACGTTAGTGAACAACATGACGATATATTAGTCATCGATAGTGATGCTGACATCAAGGATTATATTCATTCATCTGGTGGTAGTGACGAAGAGGAGGGGTTCGATTCAAATATAGCTTCTACTGAATTGAAACAATATAAACCTGACTATCCAGTTGAAACATGTGATGGTTCTTCAGGACGAATTCGTCAGAGGGTGGTGAAGGAAAAGGAAGTTAATGACAGGTTTAGTTTGAACACGTGTCCTGCTGAAATGAAGCAAAGAAAATATAGTGATTCTACCAAAGTGTGTAATAATTCTGAGGAACAATTTTGTCACAGAACAGTGAAAAAAGAAGATACAGATACTTCCAAGCTGGATTCAAATGGAAATCATCAATTCAAATCTTTAATTCTTGGGTATCACACATCATTTACAAACATATATACAAATTATAATTGTTACCATTTATGTTTAATACTAGCCTTAATTCTAAGACTTGTGTTAGTTATTTTCTCTGTATGGCAGGATACAGTTCGTTGGCCGGACGGCCAACTACGATTCACGGATGTGGATTACGATGTGTTTTCTGATGCTGCTCAAGCTTTTGTTGCTGGGGAAAATATTTATATTGAGCGTCCCACTTACAGATATTCACCACTTATTGCTGTTTTTCTCGCTCCTGGTTACTGGTTATTTTCTGACGGTAAATATTCAGTCACTGATAGAAAGGAAGTGAATATTAGTTCAGATTTTGTTGACGTATCAGTAGGACCACACTTCCGATCGTCAAAGCACATAACTCCTCCTTCTCTCGCTCGTCTTTGGGGTAAATTATTATTCATCACGGCTGATTTAATCTGTGGTTGCATACAATATAGAATTATTCAAGATAAACAGTTTGTAAGTTATGCTTTATTTTATTCTGGTATCATATCCGTTTAACATTTATTTTTGGTCCTATGCTGAATCATATTTATTGGTTATCCGCAAGAAGCATCTGAAAGTGCATGATTTTCTAAAACGATCGTAACGAGAGAATGCAACCAAACCGAGAAATGGTGTCAGTCCACGAAGTCATTGACTTGCTCTGAACCATGTCAACAGGTGCAGGCTGTTTTGCTGCAGTCCACGCGATAATCGCGGTCGGTGGTTGGAGACTGAGTGGAATGGCTCAGAAACATTCATAATTGTGCCGATGCATGCACATTTTGTCTTGTTGTAGATCTTGACTTTCAATATTCTTTCATGCATTCCTTTCCACTTCGGTTTTTTCAAATCATATTCTTATTTTCAGTGCTACATCATTTTGATCTCTTTTGCTGTTCATCTTATTATATTCATTTGATCATGCTAATACAATGTAGAAAATTGGACTGATTCATATCTATCCGAGGTTGTATGTTGATAATGTCTATCTCTTTATCAAAAGTGCAACGATATGTCATAAGTTTGTCTTTGTATCACCGCAGAATTAGCTCGACTCAATAATATTAATTGTTATGTAGAAGTTACCTATTGTACTGATGCAAGTTGTGCACTGAGTTTGAAATCGGTGGATAGTTGTTTATAACTAGTGGTGGTTTAATTTATCGTATTACAGAATTTTGCGTTTTAGATTTTTCAGTTAATGAATACTTAGTGTTAACGATTTCACAATAGTAATCGTCCTTTTGTAATGTTTCTTTTAGAAAGTTAATTTTATGGATTTTAAGTAAGTCAGTTATTTGTAATGCGAAGATCGAGCGTCTTTCGGTCAAATCGATAACTTAGCAATTTTCAAAAAATTAAACATTAGGTGGGTCGTTTATACTGCTAGTACTTTTCTTCGTCTTCTTCTTCTTCTTCTTCTTCTTCTTCTTCTTCTTCTTACTATTATTATTATTATTATTATTATTATTATTATTATTATTATTATTATTATTATTATTAGAAATAATAATAATAATAATAATGGTATTAATAATAAACATATTTGTTATGTTCCATTTAGTAGAAATTTGGATTTCTGGCGTTTCGCGACCTAGTGTAAGCCTCTCCTTCTACCATTTCTTACTTTCTATCTTTTTCAATGCCTGTAGGTATTACCAACATCAACTTTGTGTTTTCCTGACCCCGAAATTGAATTATCTTTCAGAGTAGATGACGAGAAAAAGGGTTGGATATTGATGAAACATAATGATATTGTTTCATTCAATAAACGTTTGTCACTTTATCCCATGACATCTATTTTGGGTTAGCAAGTTTTGCCTAAAGCTACAGCTTTCTATTGATTCGTTCCAGTCAGTAAAATATGGTAAACAATATCATCATCGATAACATACATCAATTACAAGAGGAATGTTATTAACTTTTCTAGAAACTTTTAAGTGAATATAACTTAGCTATCATTGTATGATTGGAGCATTAAACTATATGATATTTTAATCGAGAGATTGTTTCATAATGCAACTATTGGTTTTTTATAACATAAACTGCTAAATAAGAAGGTAAAAATTATGGCGTTAAGCGACATAATTCTAACGTGAGTGATTTTGATGTATGTCTGTAAGGTGAAACACAGATTATAATTTTTTTGTGTTCACTTTAAATAAACTAGGATTTGTTCGTTCAGTATAAATGTAATATTATAAAGCTAAATTGTTGACTGGATATACGTTCTTTGGATCTGTGCATGTAGGACGCGAACCAATAGGCAACTTGATAACATGGTGTTATGCTAACAGGTATCGATTCACTTGCAGTAATATTCTCCTAATGAATTTTTCTGTTCCCCATTTTTTAGCTGAACAGTTTACCAAATCCAAATACTGTCAATCAAAATAAAAAAATTCGACGAAGTTCCATTTCGTTCAATGCAGATCAATTAGCATTATATCTTGTTAGTTTCAGTTGGTTATTCAATCCTGTTACATCAGTAGTCTCTGCTCGTGGTAATGCAGATGGATTACAAAGTTGTGTTGTTTTAGCCTGCCTATGGTGTATTCTAAACCGTCGGGTCATTCCAGCTGGATTTTTATATGGGTTATCTATTCATTTACGTATATTTCCAATCATTTATGCGCCATCTATCTATTTATGGCTGATAATGACTGATAATAGTCATAACAAGGATAATCAAAAGAAAAATGAAGCATCGACACAACAATCTCAAAGTGTGTTTTCAATTTTATTCAAATTACCAAACCGAAATCATTATCTTTTTGGTATCAGCTGTTTACTGAGTTTAACGATATTGACGGGATTATGTTATTTATATTTCGGTGGAATGTTGTTTCTGCAAC